TTCGACGGCAGGAATGGCGGTGGTCGACTAGAGTGACGGCTGAACGGGAGCAATCGTCAGAGCGGCTCTCGCATCATTAGCAGCGATCAACTGGTGCATCTGTAGGACCATTAATAGACACTCAGAGAAGACAATGAGCTCACGGCGTCCTTAAATCCAACTGCATTTGGAGACCGACAACAAACGAAGACACTCTCCTGTCTTGTCTCCACCCCTCCATCCCGGTGCTCCAGTCCCGGCGAGGGATCAGAGGTCGGGGCCACGTCAGCAGACCCTGAGGTCAGCCACCCACCATTAAATGCGGCCACATGGCCACTTAACAGTCCAAATCTCAGGTTACAAATGTTACATTTTGGAACTTTCCGCCACCCATCTCCTCAGTTGAAATTATACTCGCGGTCTGTGTTCTCCTCGCACACAACCGCGATGGTTTCAATTGGTCTGATGGCCGTCCAAACACCGTCCCTCAGATCTTTAATTGGTCACTCGGGGAATCATCACCAGTCACCTGACGTCAGCGCCATTTTTCTAAATATTTTGTTTATCTCTTTCTTAATCTCTTTTGTGATTTCAAAAAGGTCGTAAATAGATTGCTTGAAAATATATATATTTTTTTCCAAATACTACCTGCATTCTTGTTTCATAAAACAAGAAACACTTTCGGCCAAATATTTTCTCGACGTTTCGACAAAACTCTTTGTCCTCGTCAGGAAAAATAGAATCACGACTCTCGGCTGTTATTTATTTCGACAGATGTCCCAAGCCATTAGCAACTTTTTGTTGCACGCGATCAGGAGATTCTGGCAATTTATCAACCTGACGAGAACAAAAGATTTTTGTCGAAACGTCAAATAAATAAAACTTTTATGTCCGAAGTGTCTGTATTTTTAATAACTATGAATGCCGGGCTAGTATCTTCAAGACACCTGTGTTATGTCTGATCACAATGTGGAGCGGAGAGCCCTGTAACAACGCCCAAGTTTTGGTGAATCCCTGAAAGCAGGTGTTTCCAGAACAAATGTATCGATAGAGAAATTTCAAAGCTTTTCGAGTAAGAGACAAGGAGTTTGATGAGTGCGAGACGGGCATCATTTATTATTTTGTCATTTAAGTTTTTTTTTTTTTCATTTGATTATATGTTTACCCCTAAAATGTATTTAGGCGCAAGTATATCCCGAGCTGGGATATCGCGTCCGATATGTCAAATAAAATACGTAAATAAATATTCCAAAAGACTATAAATGCGCATAACAATTTTTCGGTTTTGAAGTATTTTTATCAAATCTCTTCTAAAAATAATTTAACAAAAAAAACACACACATCGGTATTTCAGTTATCGGCCGGTCAAAGATCTAGAAATAGGAGATCATATATCGACGCAACTCTTTTTATTAACGCGATTAAAGGTAACTTTCGGGCAAGCCCTTCTTCAGCTAACTATAGTGTACAAACAAGACAAGCGAGAGAGAGAGAGATTATACATCGTTTTAAAGAGAAATATATGTAAATATAGTACAAAATATCTTAAAGAAATTTACATAATTGAATAAATATAAAGAAATTTACTCTTCGCTATTTAGTCTTCGCTGGGCAGAATTGTCCACCTCCAGATATCTCGGCCACTATAGCACGTCATCTCCAGTCTTCGCTGGGCAGAATTGTCCACCTCCAAATATCTCGGCCATTATAGCACGTCATCTCCAGTCTTCGCTGGGCAGAATTGTCCACCTCCAAATATCTCGGCCATTATAGCATGTCAGCTCCAGTCTTCGCTGGGCAGAATTGTCCACCTCCAAATATCTCAGCCATTATAGCACGTCAGCTCCAGTCTTCGCTGGGCAGAATTGTCCACCTCCAGATATCTCGGCCACTATAGCACGTCATCTCCAGTCTTCGCTGGGCAGAATTGTCCACCTCCAAATATCTCGGCCATTATAGCACGTCATCTCCAGTCTTCGCTGGGCAGAATTGTCCACCTCCAAATATCTCGGCCATTATAGCATGTCAGCTCCAGTCTTCGCTGGGCAGAATTGTCCACCTCCAAATATCTCGGCCATTATAGCACGTCAGCTCCAGTCTTCGCTGGGCAGAATTGTCCACCTCCAGATATCTCGGCCACTATAGCACGTCATCTCCAGTCCTCGCTGGGCAGAATTGTCCACCTCCAGATATCTCGGCCATTATAGCATGTCAGCTCCAGTCTTCGCTGGGCAGAATTGTCCACCTCCAAATATCTCGGCCATTATAGCACGTCATCTCCAGTCTTCGTTGGGCAGAATTGTCCACCTCCAAATATCTCGGCCATTATAGCACGTCATCTCCAGTCTTCGTTGGGCAGAATTGGCCACCTCCAAATATCTCGGCCATTATAGCACGTCATCTCCAGTCTTCGCTGGGCAGAATTTTCCACCTCCAGATATCTCGGCCATTATAGCACGTCATCTCCAGTCTTCGCTGGGCAGAATTTTCCACCTCCAGATATCTCGGCCATTATAGCACGTCATCTCCAGTCTTCGCTGGGCAGAATTGTCCACCTCCAGATATCTCGGCCATTATAGCACGTCATCTCCAGTCTTCGCTGGGCAGAATTTTCCACCTCCAGATATCTCGGCCATTATAGCACCTCAGCTCCAGCCCTCGCTGGGCAGAATTGTCCACCTCCAGATATCTCGGCCATTATAGCACGTCATCTCCAGTCTTCGCTGGGCAGAATTTTCCACCTCCAGATATCTCGGCCATTATAGCACCTCAGCTCCAGTCCTCGCTGGGCAGAATTGTCCACCTCCAGATATCTCGGCCATTATAGCACCTCAGCTCCAGTCTTCGCTGCGCAGAATTGTCCACCTCCAGATATCTCGGCCACTATAGCACGTCATCTCCAGTCTTCGCTGGGCAGAATTGTCCACCTCCAGATATCTCGGCCACTATAGCACGTCATCTCCAGTCTTCGCTGGGCAGAATTTTCCACCTCCAAATATCTCGGCCATTATGATACGTCAGCTCCAGTCCTCGCGGAGCAGAATTGGCCACCTATATATCTCAGCAGTTATAGCACGCCATTTCTCGCGAAGCAGAGTTGTCCAATGCGAGGCAAGCTTTGTCTGTTCCACACACAGCTAGCCACACTCCAACCTCCGTGTGTGACCATGCCCCGAGTCCTAACTTTGTATTACAAAACATTTTTTTAATCCCTCACTCTGTCTAGCCTAGAGCTTGTAGATGTCCTCTTCATATTCTACAAATAGTTGTTTTCCCCAGTAGGCCGATCCAGGGCTGGGAGGCCCGCTGCAGGTGAAGAGCCGTAACTCCGTCGACGCACCGTTCGGGGCCTCCGTTTATTTGAACGCCCGTCACAATTAATGGCGCCTGTTGTTTAGACCTAACGGCCTGCGATGTGGTGGGATGAATCACGGCCTTCCCTACTGTGGTAACTCTTCTGGGATGATTAAGTGCACTGTTAGATTTGCAAATATGTGAATAGGTTATGTGTGTGTTATATGCCTCTGTTGCTGGTTGGTTTGTAATTCCAAGCGGAGTCCGACAACAAATTACTTTTCGCAAAATCAACTTTTAATTACATTTATCTAATACAAAATATCAGAAGGGGTTAAATTGCTGTATACTTGTTCAAATTAAAGCGTATGATGAAAATATGAAAAGTTAATATTTGGGAGCCGCTACACCTCTCCGACAGACCGCATTCTTATGTAACTCTTAGAGACCATTTCAAATGCTTCAAAACATTTTCAAACCATTTCGTATTGCGTTCAAACTCCGACACGCTGCCGCACCAGCTTGTTCGATCGACAAATATTGAGAGGATGGGTTGAACACAAGCCTTGAATAGCGGAACTAAAATGTTGTTTATCAGAGTAAATTGCTATTTGTGAAATGTTACGGGAAGAAATTCCACGGATTTTGCAGCAGTTCTTTCAAGTAGGTAGACAGTGGGTGAAAGGCACCGCAGTATTTCGCAAATTGAAGATTCGCCGTGTGCTTTGGTGAGTGTTTGACGGTGTGTGCACCTGGTGTGTCTAGGTGCATGTGTAATTGCTGAGTGTATGATGGTGTGAACTGAGTACATGTGTGCGCTGAGTGTATGGTAGTATGTATGTGATGAGTTTCCCATTAGTGGCTAGCTTTGTTGCCAATAAATTGACAGACTGCATCCTTGGTGAACCTAGCAGTCGACCTAACTCTCCAGAACTTGAGAAAAAATGGTCCCTGTACAACAGAGGTAATTCTCCCGAACTCAACCTGGACAGAGCGTCTTGCACAATGAACTTCCCTCAAAGGAAAAGTTATATTCTATCATCATCTCTCTCTCTCCAAAAGTCGGTTACGTCGATGGCTTCTTTTTTCCAAAGCCTAGGTTGCATAGACCTTCCACTGATCCTGTCTAAATATTACTCTTATTGATGCTCATTGTTAGCTTCAAAAATATTTTTAAAATAATAAATAAGCCTCAAGGGACGGACTTTTTTAAACTAAGAGAATCACTCTATCATCTCTCTCATGGAAAAAAAACTCGAAGAAGTAGAAAGTCTTTGATGTCACGTCGGTCGTCTGTTTTCTTTTCTTTTTTTTTTTTTTTTTTTTGAAGGAGACAGAGGCAATTTTTTTCACACTTGGTTATCTCGTGTGTCTTCAATAAAGGCCACTGTAATATCTTTCAGAGTTATTGTCTGAATCCCGATATACATGCTATAAAAAGTGTTTATTCTCGCTATAAATAATTTTATAAAATTCATCTCATAAAGATATACGTCAATGGGAAAATCTTTAAAAATATCGAGAAATGAAATGTAAAATATAAGAGAACTTGAAGGAGATAGAAGTTTATAAAACTGATCACAACTCGATTGAAGAAGTCAGGAGGGATCATCAAATGATGGCGGCGGCACTAGCTGAGAGTAACTGTCACCGTCGTGACTTGTTCGTGCTCGAGCGATGTCAACATCGCAGTCACGGAGAAATGTGTCCCCCCAAAACTCTGTCGATACCACGACTCCGCCAGGATTCGAACCTGGGATATTCTGATCCATAAACAGACTGTTTACCGATGTACCGCGGCCATAGATAAACGTATCGAATGTTTCTTTGTATCAAATGTGGATATATATATATATCGTAATATTATATGCTGGGAAACCTTACTCTTGGGGTTGAAGTTTGTAGAAGTGATGGCGCAGTCGTGGTGGCTGAGTGAGAAAGGTTTACACACAAGGGAAATAAGCCAGGACACTTGATGGGTTGAAAATAAAAGGCAACTGGTTGGAGGAAAGAAAGGCTTGAGAGAAGGCGGAGCGGTTTTTGACTATTGGCCTATCGATTCACATGGCGGTGATTGACTTTAGATGCTATCTCGGTGGGAGCGAAGTGAACTAGGTCCGAACTCGGTGGGAGCGAAACAACTACTATAGGTGTTATCCCGATGGGAGCGAGTCGAAGACTGACAATCCTAGGTTCTCGATTTAACACGAAGACCTTTCTTCTTTCCCATTGGTCGAAAGGTGGGACGTGGCCGTTTTCTATTGGTTGACCTTTGGGAAGGTGCTTCCTAATTGGTCCTTGCTAATTTCTTTGTCTTTGGACTTGTCCTGACACGACCAGGAAATACTGTGTCGTTGAACTCAACTTTTATTAGTTTCGCGATAATAAAATTGGCTGTAATTTTGCTAATGATTCTGCTCACTTCTAAGCCTCTTTTCTAGGCCTTGTTTCTCTAAGTCGTTCTATCCTCCAGTTACCTTATTCTTTATTAAGTCTTTGAAACATACATTGCATACATATTGGGTCGGGGTTGCATACAGCTATTTACAAATTATGACATATATGTGGTAGGTACACTAGAAATATCCAAGAGGTAGAAACAGAGCTAAGATGTAAATAGAAGTAACCCTAGTGTAGACCGTGAGAAGTATTTGTTATCTCGTAGTGAGCTCCTTCATTCTTGTCAACCAGGTTCATCGGGTCATCATTGCACTGTCATCACTTGTATCAAGTCACCTTTATAAACGAGGTTCCATTGACAGAATAAATTGAGTAAATAACCAAACATTCCGTCAATCTGTTTGTTTCCTCGAACGTGACTGACGGGGTCCTGTGGCCCGCCGTGAAACGTCCGTCCAACGGGATGTTGTGGAATATAGACCATATGTCAAATATATCTGTGGAAATAATTAACAATTAATATTTTTGTGTTAATCAAAATTAAGAAGAAAGTCTTGGCTATGTTATAATGTGTGAATCGTCTGTATTTATAAAAAGAACGCTCAGTCTGTTCTATTTTCTGTTTTGACTTCAGGGCGGCCAAATTTGGATTTATCGATAACGCTTTATTTTGGTGTCCAATTGATCATATATAAATTTGAAGACAACACAATAAATCTTAAAGATATATTTAGGAAGATTTCAACATCCCTGCTGTTTTTTTTTTTTTATTGGCAGCAAGGTTTATAGAGAGCCGCTTTTCATGGCAAGACAACTAGAGAAAACGTAATGCCTTGTAAGAACTAAAAAAAAAATACAAAAATCAAACATTGCTGAGGCAACAATCGTGGAATAGCAGTGCGACAATTGATTCGGCAAACTTTACTTTCCACCGGAACATGTTATTTAGTGTTAACGGAGAATTTTTGAAGGAAAACGGCCGATTCACCGAGTTGTCTTTCACCTTGAAGACGCCAACATCGGATGGACACATCTGCTGATCCCAGATGTCGAGACCTCGTGGAGACAATCCAGTGAGTGGGACAAGATCTGGACAGCAGATGCCTCACAACAGGAGAGGGCTGAGCGTTTCACCAAGACAAAGCCAGGTCATGAACTGGACCTGATTGCACACATCTACTTGACCCCAATATACTCATCCTTGGTGGCTTCAACAGCCAGCATCAACCTTGGGGATGTTTGTCATCAACAGAGGTTCGACACTATCACTGTTAACAACATTCTCACAATTGTGTCCCATGGTCACATCTCTCACTCCTATGGAACTCCGCAAACACTCACCATTACCTCTCCATCTAGACAGCAATTCATAAAAATTGCACCCTGAAAAGCATCGGAAGTGATCATCTTCCTCTGAAAACAAAAAAGCTTCACATCCATCCCATTTCCAAAATCATCACAAATAATCTACTGGAACTATAGGAAAGCCTCCTGGAATTCATTTAGAACATCGATAGATAGTCTGCTCAGCAAACTTACATCAAATTCCTCCTTGAAAGGCAGATGGAAGAACTGGAAGTCTGCAGTCCTAAATTCTGTCAAACAAAATATCCCCAGAGGAAACATAAAATTCTACATTCCAGGAAACAGAGATGTACTAAACCTTTTGAAAGATGAAATAGAAGATTGGAATCAAGTTTACCTAGACCTTATTGAAAGCAGCAATGCCCTCCTTGTCAAATATTACAATCACCTTACTGCAAAAGTAAACCTAAAGCCGACCAAATCAAGCAGAAAAAGTGATTTGAACTCTGCTCTTCAATAAACACAATAACTGATGGCACAAGACTATGGAGGCTGCTACTTGCCCTCAATCAAGACACTCCATTTCCCAGCACAACTCAAATACTTTCAAAAAATATTCTGAAAATCCCCTCACAAATAAATATACTATGTCAAATCTCTTTGCCCACCATTGATTTGCGGATAAAAAATAGTTAGAATGTGGTGAGTCTTGACCATAAGCCTTGCAAAATCCAGCGACAACATTTTCAACAAACCTTTTCAAGAGCATGAACTTGGCGAAACTTTAAATCGTCTATAAAAGCTACTGGTCCAGAAAAAGAAGTTGAAAAGTCTCAGCTCCCATGCCAAACTAGAACTTTTAAATTCTTAAAGAGTGGAAGGGTGCTGCAGTTATCACAAGCCTGAGAACCACCTAACCTACTACAGACCTAAAATGACAAAGGTCGCCTCTCCTGTCAAAATAGACGCCATCTATTGACCGTCGCCGCAAACTAGCGGCCTCGGGTCGGTGACAAAGCCACAACACCAGCTTTAGCAAACTGAAAAGCGTCTATCTGAGACCATGGTTTCGGGCTAATGGCCCTCGTCAGCCTAGTGCGGACGTCGAAATCCATGGTCTCTAGGTGGACGCTTTTCAGTTTGCCAAAGCTGGTGTTGTGGCTTTGTCACCGACCCGAGGCCGCTAGTTTGCGGCGACGGTCAATTGATGGCGTCAAGTTTTGACGTCTATTTTGACGGGAGAGGCGACCTTTGTCTTTTTAGATCAATATCCTCCCGGCAAAATTCCCATCAATACTACAGACCTATCTCTCTGACCTCTGCAAAATCATGGGCACATAATCCTTACTATACTAGAATTGTATCTAACCTCAACAACCTACTAGACCTTTGTCAAATAGGTTTTTAAAATGTCAAATAACTCAATCTTCCACTTTGCTCAGTGAGTTCAGGAAAACTTCCATCATAAAACAACGCAATCAACTAAGGCAGCCTTCTTCGACCTTTCCCAAACCTTTGATAGAATCTAAAAAGAAATTTTAAATTTCATACTCGACAAACTTGGAACCGAGGGAAGAATGCTGGGTTGGATTAGCAAATTTTATACAAACGTACCTTACAGGCCAATTTCAATAACAACACCTCACAAACTGTTCGTCTTTACAAAGGATCGCCCCAAAATTCAATCCTCAAACCTCATTCATTTCAATATCTACCTAAATGATCAAGAGAGCCACCAGCTAAAATCACCTTTTATGCAGATTATAAAATCTGGGTCTCTCTCCAAAATCATCCTTTCCCATACAAAACATAGAGAT